ATTTTAGTTAAATCTGCACACATACTCAAATGAGAAACATTTTATGAGTTTTTTTCCTTTATTTCAATCTCTGGGATGATACTCATTCCAGTTGCTGATATGAATTGTGAGGCTGCACAAGCACTGCACTAGGCTTGAGCAAGCACACCCTGCTTTTTAGCAGGGCTTGTTAGCTCAGCTATCCACCAACCTTGGGGCTCCCTGGGCCAACAGACTGAAACTGGCTTGCCAGTGCAAGGGGAGAAAGCATCTGCCTGGGTGAATCTACTTAGGGAAATGCTGTGCAAGAGTTTCATTCCTGTCTTTGCACACACACAGCTGCCTTTGTGCTTGGTTGAGGTGATTGCCTTTTGACTCTCGCTTCTGATAACTTGTTGCAAGGGTGAGTGCAGCCAGGAAGAGGCAGGAGACTGCTTTGCTTGGTTATCCAGTGTTTATACTGAGTGTGCCTGGGGGCTGCAATGAGTTCCTCTTTGAGATGAGCCAAGAAAGTGTAGACTCTCCTCTGGAAAGCTGATTTAGACTGTAAAGAGAAGACAAAGGGAGCAGGATGCAGGTGAGGTTTTAATCCTACATTTATAGACTATGAAAGAAGAACCTCGTGGAGGTTGCACACAAAGAGCTGGGATGGCACCAGGCCAGCATCATTGGGGAAAAGCTTATATTTTATTGAATTTATTTCAGTGCAATAGATTAATGCCATTGATCCAGAGTCTTGAATTATGATGTTTTTCTCTCAGAAATGAAACATTGGGGGTTTAGTCCTTATTTAATTTTCCTCAGAACTAAAGATAATTCTGTTCTTAGAAGCATAGGTTGGATTCAATACTTCAAATAGTGCCTCTATGTTAAATACAGTTAGGTTTACTGTTTTATTGCACCAATATTTCCACATATTTTTAAATCAAAATTAATCCTAGGATTCAAAACTATTATTGCGTTTGGTTCAAATTCTGCTGTGTCAGTAAGTTACAAACCCCTCCCCCCATCATAAGTTTTATCAAGTAGTATTTTCAGTAGTAACCATGAGATTTTTGGAATTTGATTATAAATCACATAAGTGTCAAATTTTGAGTTAGGATTGGCTGTTACCTTCATCGGACATTTTCATGAGCACTAGTTCCTCTCCAGCTTCCAGAGACAGACAGGAATTTTCTTCCACTGATAAATATTATCTCTTTGTTTTTGAAATAGACATAGAAGTAATTTTACACTACTTTACAATGTCAGGAAGGGGTCTAAGAGTATACATGAATTTGCTACAGAAATTGGATCATGTCTCTAAGGATCATTATACATAAGGAAACTATGCCCTAAGGTGTATACATGTCATTGGTATTTAGTGTTAGCTCTGTATTCTGTGATTTTAAAGACAGGTCTGAAGACTGCTGTAGTAAATGTGATAGCCTTTATTCTGAATTCTTACTGGAAGTTTAAAAAAAAAAATACTCCTCTTGGAAGGAAGTTATATGAGCCAGTATCAATATGTACATTTTTTACCCCATGTGCTGTAAATTCTAGTTATTATGGAATAGGAAGGGTGTGTATTGAATTAAAAAAAAAAAAAAAGCTGGGGAAAGAGAGTCATCCTTCTTTAGCTAATGGAGTAGACATATTCTCTTAAGTTCAGATAATCTAATTATAATTATTTGCTGACCTCTTGAAGAAAAGATAATAATCCTTTCAGCTTGCAACCTAGCATCTTGTGTTCCTGCTTAAGGTGCTGTGCTCTTGTGAGTTCTGGAAGAAAGAAAATATCAACAGTTTTGTAGGGAAACTTAGGCTGAAAAGCTTAGACACTGGAGCAAAGGATAAAGAGAAAGTTTGGTGTTTCTTTTTCTGACCTGTGTAGCCTATCTGATATCTTCCTGCTGATATATGGAGGTGTATATCTACTTGATATATTCTATAGTTTTGCACTCGTTCTCCCATTATAACTATTTTTACCTTGATTTCTATGCTCTGACTAAAGAATAAAGAAATTCCATATCAATTTAAGTTTTTCTGAGGAGGCAACTTAAAAAAAAAAAATCAGTTAGCTTTGGTTAGAAAGAATCAATGAATGCTGGCCATTCTGCAATGGAAAGTGTGGTAACTCTACTTTTGAAAAGCAGCATTGTCCCACTAATATGACTTAGCTGGAGGTGTCTGGATGATGAGTAAGACCTGTGGATTACTACAGGATTTAGTATCATGATGTTGATCCACGGAGTACAGATTATTCCCCTGTTCTTCAGTCTATAGTTAGTTCCACTTAGCTTTGCTATGGCAAGTGGGCTAATGTGTGTTGGCAGGACCATTTGGTTTTGTGGGGCTCTTAGCTGCCACACCAAGCTGCTTTGGGTTTCCCTTCAGGGCACCATATTGCACAGAACAAGGGAGCAGAATGATCATTACCAGTTGTCACCTACTATATGTCCACTAAGTGCCTAAGGACTGTACTCGTCTTCTTTACTTACAAGTTGACTGACTTCTCAAGGATGTCTGCAGTTCCTTGAAAACAGTAAAAATCAAACTCAGATGAATATAGTGAAATTTAAACCCTTAAAAATAGGGGTTTTTTTTCTTAATATAAGCTCTTATCTGCTTTGAAGATAGCAACAATTGGTAATCCTCCGAGACCCTGACCTTCTCCCTTAACAAAGTAGCTCTGATATTTCTTCTGTGAGTTGTTTTGCATGACTGTTGCATGTGTTCTATATTTAACTATCCAAGGTCCTTCATATTGAATTTATACTACAAAAGTTTTGTAGAATATGTTCATTATGGTAAAGAACCTAGATAAGCTAGTGTGCCATATGAAGAGCTGCCAAACTCATTTTAATGTGTTACCTGTGCGGGGGATTGTACAGACCTTAATCATATTAGGTGTATGCATAATATTTGAGAGCAGGCCTGAGGAGAACTGCTTGGATATATTGATGGATGAGAAGCTCAGCATGACCTGGCAATGTGCACTGGCAGCCCAAAAAGCTAAGATGTATGAGGTTCCTCCCAACCCAAACCTTTCTCTGATAATACAACCACTGTTGTATGTATTGGTGAAACTTCTAGGATCTCTTCTGTTGGGCTTGTGTTGTCTTGGATTGTGAGGCAGATCTTCTCCCGGCCACAGCTCTGTCACCATCTGAAACCAACTTACAGGTATAGGGCATATCCAGCAATAAACGAGAAAAGAAATCAAAAAAAATAAAATTTTGCCATAGATTTGGCAGGTGAACGAAAAGCCAGGAAAATGCATTGGAGAGCTGCTTTCAAGGGCAGAGTAGTTATGTCCCTAAGGGGTAAGACCATGCACTTAACCATCTGAAAGAATTTTCGTAAACTGGGTTTAATGACTTTTTTCACTATTATGCTTTTAAGTTTATTTTGTTGCAGCATGTGCATATATGTTCTTGAATATTGTATTTATTTATTAAAAAATGAAAAATTCACCTCCTCATGAGCGGGGAAAAAAGCCTACAGGTGTGGAAAAGCATAGAATTATACTAGCATAGTTTGGTTTGGGTTGGAAGGGACTGTAAAGATCCTTTATTTCCATCATTCCCAGCTTTGGGCAGTGACACTTTCCATTAGACCAGGTTGCTTAAAGCCCCTCCCAACCATGGAAACTTATGGCATTAAAGTAAACCATCAAACCCGACCTTTGAATGATATCTAGAAACTTTATGATACAGTATTCCTTCTCAGAAGTGAAGCATGAGCTTTTTGTCCTTTCCAACTTTCACCAGTCTCAAATAACTATGTTATTTTTGTCATTTTGATTTGAGTTTGTTTGAAACAAAAGCAGCAGAACAAGAATATGACAAAAACCATCCTAAATTCTCAGAGTTCTGAAAAACTTAAGTGTTCATTCTCCCTCCATGTGCTAAGACTCCTAATCAATAGCCAGATCAAGTGTTCTTTTGCTGTAAAGAGTCACATTTAATAGTTGATTTTTATGTATAGACATATAGCAGAAATGGGAATATTTTTAGCAACCCATATTTACTTCACTGATTGTCCTTTCAGACATGCAGAACACATTCATTTACAATATGCCTTTTTCTTCTGTACCCAAAATACTTAGAGGCATCTCGCAACAAATGTAGTACACATGAGCAGTAGAGTCTCAATTAATCTAGTTATTTTCACTTGTCCTCATTTGCAAAGAAAAGATGGCCCAGTAGTTAAGTCATTAGCCTGCTGCTTTGGAGATAGATTTTACTGTTCTTAAGTTGTAGATTTCCTTTCCAACTAGGACAAATCTGTCAGATAAGGAGAATGCAGCTCCATCTAACCAGGACATTGAGGGTGATTATATGTCCATCCTCAAATACTTTACTTAATGTTCAAAGTAAGACACTGAGGGAATTTGATTGGTGTTCTAATAAAAAAGAAAATGCGATTACCATACAGCAGATCTTGTAGCCTGCAGTCAGTGTGTAAAACAAAGAATTTAACTTGAGTAAATTATTTAGCATCAAGCATTCTCTTTTAAATTGTCTGCTTTTTGTAGGACAGCATTTTTACTATGACAGCTTTTGTATCACACTATAAGATTTCTGTCAGAGCAACTGTAGTTGTCCTTACTATGGTCCATAGTAATAGTATGCAGCATGAGTGTTTCAAAGCAATTATATTGTTTAGTCAAAACTGTTTTAATGAAGTCTGTAAAGACAAATTATTGCTTATTTCTATCACTATAGTGCATGTAACCCCAGTTTATGAAGGAGGATGGTAGGTGTGAGTGATTGAGTAGACTCCAGTTTGAATCAGGTATGGCTTTTGGAAGGAGTGAGTGCTCTGTCTCATTGCTTGTGAAGCATATTGCATTAACTCTGTCATCTGGCAGACATGGATTTGATGATCCTTGTGGGTCCCTTCCAGCTCGTCATATTCTGCAATTCTGAGATTCCCAATGAAGTCATCTTCATTTTACAGCACTGCTGACAAAACTTCCTTTGGTCCGAAGTAACACTGAAGCATTCAGTGGCTCTGGTTCTTTGTTTTTCTTGTAGGGTCAACGATTGCATCTTGCGAGTGAACGAGGTTGACGTGTCGGAAGTGTCACACAGCAAGGCCGTGGAGGCCCTGAAGGAGGCCGGCTCCATAGTGCGATTGTACGTCCGGCGAAGGAGACCTATACTGGAGACCGTCGTAGAGATCAAGTTGTTCAAAGGACCGAAAGGTAGATAAGAAAATTAAAAAGGCATCCATTTTAAACTTGGTGTTTAACCTCTCTTGTAGCTTAAATGGCATCTGGCCTTGTTGATTTGCTAACTGGTTGGCATGTCAAATACTGAAATGTAGTTCATTTAGGCAGGTAGAACTTGAATTCATGGTTAATCTCTTCCTGAAATATAAAGGATTTCAAGGAGCTGTGGTTTGCTTCATTCGATGTTTACTCTCTCATTACCTTCTAAGGACACGTGGAGATGCTATGTGGCAGCACATATACTACCTTTAAAGTTCCTTTACTCAGACCTTTGATTTAAGGTGCTGTTGAATGTGGAGTTTCTGAATTCTTCCTCTTTTCAGAAGGTTTTTTGATTATCCAGCTTGCCCTCTCTACTTTCATTATGTTTTTTTCTAGTTATCTTTGGAACATGGAGAATATCAACTTAGCCAGATGCACAGAAGAATTTTATTTTATTCTTTAACAAAATTATGTGGAAATCTAGCACAAAACCTTCACTAGTCTAAATGAGCTTTACTGCTTCCAGCAGAACCTTCTGGTTACAGAACAAAAGGCCAAATTCCTTTCTAGAAGCATTTTTCTTCATAGCTAATTTCTGGACAAAGAAAATGCATATTTTCATGGTACGTGTGAATAGAATGAACAGCAGTTAATTATTTTGACCCATAATAGCTGTTTCATAAGCACATGTTTGAGATATATATATATATATATATATATATATATATATATATATATATGTATTATGAAATGAAGACATTTTTATGTCTGTTAATATATGCAGTGCACATGAGATTACTCTCCCTGTTTTATCTATAGTGAATAATCTGCAGCTTTTTCAGTGTTCTCCCTTACATGTCCCCTCATGTGAATATTATAGTATGCTAGGGTATAGTAGTGTTTTTGAATAGAAGTAATGGAATATATTTAGTATATTAATGCATATTGTTGAGCTTGACCTCTAATACTCAACAAAGATAGTGCAACACTGAAAACAGTGCACTCTTTGACACTGCAGTGTATTCATTACACTCTGCTCTTGGAGAAGAGTAAGATATATTTAAACAGGCATCTGATGGTAAATCCCTGAAAGTTTGGATTGTTGTGGTCAATTATGATGCTGGATTGTTTTTCTACAGAAGAGCATTTCTAATGGTATTTTGTATGCATGTGAATTCAGAGTAGAAGTGCAGGCAGTGTTTTTAAAGATTTGGAGTTAAAGTGTGTGATGTGATAGTCGTTTTGAGAGACCTAAGGCTAAAGAAACTAAAATTAACTTGTCCTTTCTGGTTGTGATGAAGCAATAAAAATTATTCACCGTGACCAAATTTTTGCTGCATTGTGAAAACGGACAAGAGAGGCAATCATTATCTAATAATGGGTTTGCATCGTGTTTGTTTTGAGTGTATGCCCGAAACTATTTCTTTTTACAGTTATTTTCATAAAACAGAATGGATACCAAAAAAGTGCCTTTTAGGGCAAGCTAAAAAACTTTTGCTTCTTATTGCTGCAAATATGATTTTGCATCTGTATTCTTATATGAAGTTTACTACAGATAAGTGCTATAAATAATAAATTTTATTGTTAAGTTGAATATATTTTTTTATATTTTCACTTTTATAGAAACAAGTTAGCTGGAAACTTGGATAAAAAATAAGTTGATGGACTAGTTTTGTGCAAAAGCCAGGGGTTTTGCCTTCACAATTCAGGCAGTAAGGAAGCCTACTCTATTAGGCTTCCTGTATTCTACAAATAAAAAAGCAAAATGAAGAAAATAAATAATATATAGTTGGGATGAAAACTTTACCAATACTATTTTTAATATCTAGAGCATTTTTCCTTTTATTTTTTTCAAAATCTTCCATGAAAAAATTATCTATTGAAAGGCATCAAACTCTTAGTAGAAATTGAGAATAAAACCCGTGACTCTTGGCTGTGATGCTTATCTCCTCATATTTCAGGTAATTATTTAGTTGATTAGTGAACTAGTATTAATAGTGAACTATTATTAATGATTATTTAGATTATTAGTTTATCTGTGATCTGCTCTTTCACCCCATTACTATGCAACATAAAAACCACTTAGTATTTATATAAACAGTGTTTCTTACTTCTCTGATTGAAATTGGGATGTTTTGGTGTCCAGAGGAGGATCTGAAAACTAGCATGGTAGCTTCCACACCATTCCTTCTTTCCTACTCACAAAATTAATAAAGAAAGTAAATCTGTTTTTTAGATAAGAAGGTTGTTCCATACCAAAATTGGAATAGCAAACATCTTTTCAATTGTTTTCCTGTCTCTGTCAGTATATAATCCAGCCTTTACTAAGTTCATTCCTTACTGCCCTGAGGATTCACCACATGAAAGCAAGTCTTGGCATCCCTAATACCAGGTAAACTCAGAGATCCCTAACTAGCCTATGTGTAGTAGATTATATCTTTCAGCACTTGAAGTTGGTAAAGAAGGAAATTTGCAAGGCTTTATATATAGAGGTCCTTTTAATGTCATCTGAGATATTCAAGATGAGGGCTTTTACAAGTTTAGACCATAGAGGTTAGTTGAGTTTTTTTAATGGGCATTTACTTTTGTTGCTAGCAACTACCATATAGAAGACATTGATCAATTTGCTGAAGGTATTTTAAACATCACATATTGAATAAGCACTGTCTGGAGATGCCTTTGAGTGTGTAACAGGGGGAAGGGCATGCTCTTTTGCTGCCAGGAGGTCCCTTCTAAATGCAGATCCCCATGCAGTTGTTCCTGTTGTTTTGTGTCATGTGTGCTAAGCCTGTAACCCTTTAGTTTTATTTTTGGGAGCAGAAGATGTAAACAAAGACACAATGAGTTGTGTAATAGGAAAATCAAGGGTTCAAAGAGAGCTTCAGCTGTGTAGACATTTAAAGCTGATCATCACTTTGACACACCTGATTGCAAATGCTGGCAGATAGCCACAGTCTGTGTCTTGAAGGTAATTGCTAACTGTCATCCTTGCAGGCTCTTCCTCTCTTTCATGTGCTTGGGAGATTGTCTTTTGTATGCCTCTTGCATGTCTCTTCAGGCAGGCATACAATTCACAGCATGGCTTTGCAAAGGATTGAGTGGCCAACAGTAGATGTTTTGTTTCAGTCACTCCCAGGGCACTGCAGATTTTAGCAGCCAGCATCTCTACAGTGGCTGACAGCTGTAACAGAGGAAAGATATACTTGCAGCTTTCTTATTTAAATCACTGGAATTTAGACATTACTGAAAATCCCGTCATTAAGTAATATGCTTTTCTTGGTCTGTATTGAAAAAAGACTAGCAGTAATGAGAATGGAATGCACATGCTGCAGTGTTTGCTCCTGGAGAGCAAAATGCAGGCATTCAAAACAAAGCAGTTTAATGGTGCTGTCTGCTTTGTAATATAACTTGTGCATTAGCTTCCTGTAAGACCCTGCAAAGGTCTGTGTATGGGCAGTGGATTGTGAACTTCAGTCGCTGTTCAGGGGTTCCAGTGCTCTCTCCATTTCATTGCATTTGACTGGAGGATTTTAAACCAAAGTAGTTTCATTGACCTCAAGATTTTCATGCTGTCCTATCACACTCCAAATATACTTTTACTAAATCCAGAAGCATTGAGTAGTGTGATGATGCACAATTAGTATGCTGATGTACAAGTGGTAGAAATTAAACGATTCATTTTAATTTCATTTTATAAATGATCTCCTACCATTAGAAGAAATATATTTTTAAATGTATTCCTACCATTTTAGAAAATTTCTGGCAGTGAGAAACTTGGGTAAACACAGAGGTCATGTAAAATATTACCTGCATACTTGCCTACCCAGCTGGTAATTTAAGCTCTGATATAATGTACTAGAAGGGGGGAAAAAAAGGGCAGAAAAATAAGGATTCTTGTATCTACAGCACTGTCGGATCAGATAATAAACTTCTGACCTCACTTCTGTAAGAAATGTAGTGTCTTAAAAGATATCAGAACTGCAGAAATGAAGTTCAGGGTATGTGAAGCAGAACAGCTGAGTACCAGGAAACTTCAGAGGAAAATTGTTGGACTGAAAAACACCCAAAACAAAAGGAACAACATAAAGGGCAGCTAATTTTGCTATCTGGCTATTCTGGTGGCTTGAGTATAAAGTCATAGAGAAACAGGATTACTTTCCCACACCCTTCATGATAATAGTGCCTATCATCATTACAGTATTTGAGCTGTGTCAGGATCTTGCCGTGATGACTGGAGCTGCCCTTCTGTTCATGATGTTTTAGATGAAAGGCTCTGGGCACACCAGCAGTTCTCTCACTTTTTGGTTTCTAAAAGCATACTTTTTGCTCATTCCTGATGAATTCAGCCCGTGACACATTCTTATGAGGTCCACCTCACACAGCTTTGGGCACTAAAACATGTTTAGGGGCACTGAATTCTCTACTCTTTCTGCTCTCAGAATTCGGGCCTTATCAAAACTTTTCCTTTAATCCATTTGGAGTGTGATTATATTTTGGGGCTTCAGATTAAAAATTAATGCATCTCCTAAGCACTGTTCAGCCCCATTCTGTAGCTCCCTCTGGATGGCTGTTCTTCTTATCTTAAATTTCTTAATCAGCAAAGACTAAGCTCTTAAACCAGACGTCTCCATAAAATATGCAAAAATAAGATAGGATTAATATAAAGGGCATAATGTGCATTTATTTTGAGAGTCTGTATGTCTGTCTAAATGTTAGACTACGTCACTGGGCATAACCAGTTCCAGAGTTCCCATTTAGTTGTGTTCTGTGCTGAAATGAAGCGACTCTGTGGCACATGGATTTTCTTTTCCTGTAACTATTTGGTTTATTCTTGATGTCACTGAATAAAGTCAATGGATGGTAAAGAAGCTTTCTTACTATACTAGGAAAAGAATTACTATGGTTTAATTTGTGTATTTTTTAACTCACTGGAAAGTTATGAGATTTTCTTGAGAAGATGCAGAAAATTTTCACCATCAATATAAGGTATG